CCCAGCTTCCCCAGTCAGTCCCTTCCTCCATGAGCCTTCTCACCCCACCTCCGCCCTTCACACCATAGTCCAGTGGTTAAAATACAGCTCTGCACACAGGTGGTCCTGGGTTCAAATTATGGCTCTGCTGGGGGCCTTGATAAACCTTTCATGTGACCATTTGATCTTGATTTTTCCTTCTCATCTGCAAAACAGCACTGAGAAAAGCGCCCCCCTCGTAGGATTGGGTGAAATATGCACCAATTTTAGCCAAGTGCTTACTGAAACCCTTACCACGCTGTATTCTAAGTATCTGTTTAAATGTCTGTCTCCATCACTTGACTTGAGGGCAGAAAATGATTCTGATCTCTTTGTCCCTAGCACGAAGCATGGCTTTAGAAGAGGCATTAAATAAATGTGAAGTAAATGGATAAAAAAGAAATATATGAATCTTAGACTCCTAGTCTCATAATTTCATACATAAAACTAAGAACCTGGCCTCACATAACCGCATAGTGGCAAGGATCTTAGAGATCAACTTTCCGAGGCTTTCAATCTTTTTGACGACCACCCACAGTAATACACTTTATACTGCCATGCAATGTGTGCATGCTTGAGCACACACACATGCGCTAAAAGTTTCAAGAAAGAGTACTTTCCTTTACTATGTGGGATAAACCCAGGTATTTATTCCTTCTCCCCTCTCCTCCCTGCCTCTCCTCTCTAGTCGATTAAAAGAAAAATGCTGGATTAGGTCCACAACATTGATTTCATGACCCACAAAGGCATTGTGGTCTATGGTTTGAGAAACATGCCTCCAGTTGAGCTGCTCAGCCAGAATCTTCATCCCTGGCCTGAGTCCTATACTTGCGCATCCCTGGGAAGGGAAGTTCCCTCCTCAGAAGGAAAGAGGCTTCATTGTTGAACAGCATTATTGTTAGAAAGTCCTCCTTTCACTTAAGTGAAATGAGCCCCAGTCACTTCCTCTTTGGTTCCCTTTAGCTGGGCAGTCCCTGACTGCACGTTATCAAGCAGTCACCTCCCATCACTAGGTTTCACTTTCCTCCTGCTGGGCTCACATGTGTGCCCCACCTAAGTACATAGAGCCTAAATGTCCATCATCAAAGCCACTTTGTGGGGAAAAGGCCTTGATCTTCATCCATCATCTCCCATTATTGTGTTTGTTTTCTTTCATGGGGCTGAAGGTCACTGGAGCCAATCCATCCATGGTGGCTGAAGTCTTCGGCTCCTGGAATAGAAAAGTTTGTTGGGACTTGTGGGATGTCAAAGAGTCTGGGTTAGAGGGAACGATGATGCTAGTGATGCCAGGGGCCTGGATGCCACAGAGGGTCCTGCGATGGTCCTCTGTTGGTCCTGGCACGCTGCAACCTCAGGGGCCTCCTCCCCCTGCATCATGCCTGCTACCTCTGCCTTAAGGTGGCCTTGCTTTACCCCAGAGGCCAAGGGCAGTTGGCAGCACAGGCCACATAATTAACGGGAACGCAGGACCCTGTGTTCGAAAAGTATTAAGTGTTTCAAGATGGTGACAGCGGAGCAGTAAATCAAGTGTGAGCCGCATGAGTGCAGGCCCTGTGCAGTTGCAGGGCTCCGACCCCCATGGTGCCAGCCTTGGCACTTTGCCTGGGAAGCAGGCTTAGCAGACATTGCGTGCATGAGGCCTGGGCTGGGAGTCCGGAGTGCAGGAAATGAAACCAGGCCCATGAATATTCAAGGAACAAGATCCTTAGAGATCACCTGGCCCAGACCCCTCCATGTCCAGTTGTAGAACATGAGCCCAGAGAGATGGTGCAAGGTCACCCTGCACATTGGTGGCAGAGCCAGGTCACAAGCTCAGCCCTGAGACCCTCCCCCTCTTTCCTCCCCACCTTTTCTGAAGTTGGTCTCATCCTATGCAGTGTCTTTACGGTTATTCACATGCTTACAGCTTACATGTTTCTACCCGCTTTCCCCAGCATCCCTCCTCCTTCCCCAGGCTCCAGACTCCAGCGTCCAGCCATCCCCAGCTGTCGCAGCCTCTTGCTTCCTCTCCTCCTCTTGCCTCCTCCCTGACCCTCCTCCCACCCATCCCCACCACAGCCCCCAGAGTGAGTTTTTAATTTACAAACTGGACCCCCCCACCTCTGCTCTCAGCCCACCGACGTGTTGCACACAGGCTGCAATCCCACCTCTTTACCGTGGTCTGCAAGGTCAGGCCTGTGGTTTCTCTCATGATTGCCGCCCCTCCCTCTGCAGGTGACCTTGATGTTGATCAGAAGCCCCAGCTCACGCCTGCCCCACATGCTGCAGTCCTTCTCTTCCCCCAGATCCCCCCACGACCGTCCTCCCTTCGTCCAGGTTTCAGCTCACGCACCCCTCCCCCATCTCCCCACCCCCTCCCTCCGCTCCCACGGTCTGGTCTTCCTTTGCACCCATCTCAAACACAGGCCTCACTCTCTCCGCACTTTTTTACTTTCCTTCAGTGTTAACCCTCCTGAAATCACACTGCACATTCGCCCCTTAGTCTTCAGCCTCCCCTCTAGAAGGTAGCTTCCTTGATGGTGGAGACCTGTCTTGCTCACTGCTCAGTCGCTCAGCACCTTGAATGGCACTTGGCACATAGTTGGCACTCTACAGGAGCAGCAGGAATGAACATACTGCTGATGAGGTGAATTTATTCAGCAGACGTGTGTTCAGAGGCTACTGTGTGTCAGGTGCTGTGCTGAGCACTAAGGACTCAGACGTGGAGCCGGTGGATGAGAAAGGGTCCCTGCCCTTAAAGAGTTAGTTGATCGTCCTGGGGAGAGATGGAGCTTTGTTTGGAGGAGTGGCAGCGAAACACAAATGGTTGTCTAAGCTGAGACTGAGCCCCGCTAAGAAGATGAGGTGAGGGTGAAAGATCATGGGGCTTTGCAACAAGAGGTAGGATTTTAGGGACCCTGTGTGTCCCTTTCTGAGGAGCTAAGGCTCCTCTGTCCCTCTGGCCCCTCAGCCCGTTAGGCCAAGGCTGGGGCTCACACTCATGATGTGGGCTCTTGGAGCCTCCGACCCCATCAGAGGCTGAGCTTCTGGACTGGGTGACACCCACGTCTGGCGGTGCTGGAATCAGGAAGAAGACTGGCTTGGCTCCACTCAGGAAACCGAGCCTCCTCCGCTGGGCATGTGGCCCAGCCTGGGTGAGCCTTGTGGGTACTTTGGCACTTCTCCGTAAGCCTTCCAACCTCATAAGGCAGGCTGTCCGTGGCTTCCCCAGGTCGTGCAGCCCAGCTCTGGTGTCACCTGCCTCCCTTTCCATGCAGATCGTGTGACTGAAGCGGAAAGGCAGATGCAGGGGCTTTTGAAGGCAGTTGCCTCCTCCAGGAAGCTGTCTGCTTTCTCTTTAGTAGTGCTTCCTCCTTTTCTTTACCCCTACAGCACATATTCCCTCTTTGTTTATTTATCCAAACCCCCATCCAACCAAGCAACATTCATCGAGCAGCTTCTATGCTCTCGGCACTTACTGTCGTGAACAAGAACCTGGTCCCTGCCCTCGCTGTCTAATGAGGGAAATTATGCAACTGGATGCCACTTAAAGATTAAATTACAAGGGTGTGGGAAGGGATAAACTTGGAAATTTGAGACTTGCAAATGTTAACCACTATATATAAAAATAAGAAAACAACTTTCTTCTGTAGAGCAAAGGGAATTATATTCAACACCTTGTAATAACCTTTAATGAAAAGAATATGAAAGTGAATAGATGTATGTAAATGCATGACTGGGACAGTATGCTGTACACCAGAAGTTTTCACATTGTAACTGACTATACTTCAATAAAAAAAAATTAAATTACAGCTCTGATAGATGCTATGCAAGAGAAGTAACCGAACCCACAGGAGGTGTCAGGGAAGGCTTTCCTGAGGAAGGAACATGTCATCCAAAACCATAGTGTCCAATGTGGCAGCTGTGCGTGGCCTGTGTCACAGAGAGACTGAGGTTTTAATTGTATTTAAATATTTTAAATTTAAAAACAGAAGCAGTATAATATAGATATTTTTTGTTAACCACAACTTTATTTTTTGGGTTGGACTACATTTCACTGTAACTGTTGAAAATTTCAAAGACTAAAGGAAAAAATAAGGTAAAAGACCATACTATTTTTTTAATATTGTTTATATGTTGAAATGATACCCTTTCAGATGCTGGGTTAAATAAAATGTATTTGTTAAAATTCATTTTGCTTGTTTCTTTTTACTTTCTCAGTGTGAATACTAGAACATCTAAAACGCAGTACGTGGCTCACACAGTGTTTCTGGGGACAGAGCTGAGCTGGGAGCGGGTAGACATGTGTCCAGGCTCACAACTGGGAAGCGAAACAGAGTAGGAGGATGGTAGCGGCCATGGGGAGAAGCCAGAGCAATGGAATCTGCGCTTAACATTCATCCTCCTTGTACTTGGAGCCTCGCAGACAATTCTGGGAGACAGGAGAAGCCCTGGCTGACATGGTACAAGTCCAGTGAGGTGGTGGGCGGGGCTGGGTGTGCAAGTCTGTGCTCTGATTTATTTGGTTCTGTATGTCCAGCTCCCGGCACCAACCTTTCTTCCAGATGTGGTCCTTAGAGATGGACCACACAATCCACTAGGTGGTCCCAGAAGCCATCCCTGGGTCGGGGCTATGCAGGTTCTCAATCATGTCTGCTCAGCAAGGAGGAAGCTCACCCCCTCGGAGAAAGGGTGGAGCCTGGCCCCTTCCTACTCTGGTTCAGGGGGCATCAGAGATGGTCAGTGCCCAGGCCAAAGGCAGCAGACGCCTTCCGTGCTAAAGAACCCCAGGTTTAGAGGTTGGAAGGAAACCTGGGCCACAGCAACCACTTCTCCTGCTGCGGCTCAAACCACTGCTCCAGGCCTGGGGGTGGGTAGCTGGCCAGGAATCGCGAGGCCCGTCCTCAGCTGTCAGGAGGTCAGGTGGTTGCTCCTGGGCTCTCATAGATCCTCATCCAGGGGTTGGAGCCAGCACATTCCAGGGACATCGTGAGCCTCCAGCCATGACCACCACACCTGCACAGGCGCTGGGCGCCCTCCTGCTCACCTGTCTGCTGGGACTCACAGGTGAGTCCTGAATGCTGCCCACAGAGACCCTCAGAGCGGGCAGGGATTGCCAAACTGGGCTGCCTCATGCTATGACAGAGGAGATCTGAGAGCCTTGGGGCAGGGGTCCTGTTTGTCACATCTGTGTCCCCAGCACCCAACTTACATACTGGCTCAGGGGATGCAGTGAAAATTGGGAGAAGCCCCTGCTCTCAGATCTCTGCAGGCTGTCCTGACAGACAGGGAAGAGTCCAGACCCTGCAGCTGTCAGGATGACTCTGGGAGACAGATCCTACGTTAGGAGCAGAGTACTGTCATAGTTTAAGCTTGTGAGGATGGATGAAGCTGCCTGTGGTGTAGAGAGCCCCCTGTCACTGGAGGTGAGCAAGCAGAGGTTGGAGGTTCACTGGGGTGTCAATGGGAAGGACCTGATGAGGAGGGCCAGCCATGCCGGCCAACCATGCCTGCCAGCAGAGGTTCTTGGCTTCTCACTTCTGTCCAAAATGGAAACCTTTGATTCCTCACCACATCTCCCCCATCCTAACTTGATCCATTTAGCCCCACCTCAAAACCTAGAACCACCATCCACGCAGATGCTCAAGAGAAAAGCCTAGGAATCATTTATTCATAATTTATTCTGTCGCTCATCTTCCCTCCAGTCCATCACCAAGTCTTGATGGCTGTATCTTCCAAGTGGGTCCCTCCCTTTCTCATTTCCCTGGTCCAGGCACCATGACCTCACACCTGGAGGTCTGAGCCAGCCTCCTCACTGGCCTCCCTCCTGCCCACCTCCTTTCCATCCTCCACAGAGCAGCCCCAATTATCTACTACAACATGCCAAGGAGATCAGCTTGCCCCTCTGTTCAAAAATCTCCAGTGGCTTCCCATCATAAAGTGGAATCAAAGGGTCCCCATGTCCCACAAGGCTCCTCTCCATCTGGACCTCTTTGGTCACGATGCTTAAGTCTTAAGACCTCTCAGTTTCTCAGGTCCACCAAGCTCTTCCTGCCTGAGGTGCTTCTCACTGGCTGTTCCCACTTTCTAGAATGTCCTTCCTCTGCCCCTTCCCATGGCTGGCTCCTATCCATTCCTCATTTAAGCTCAAGACATCACCTCCTCCAAGAACCCTTCTCCTACCACCTTTCTATAATTAAGTCCTCCAGGCATTTCCTACATCTGTGCTCTTTGGGTTTCCCTGAAGTCATGGAGGCCCAGCTGTAATTCTGTATTTGCCTGCTGACTTGTTAGCATCTGTCTATAAGCTCCCAGAGGCTGGAACCAGACAGGGCACATAGGAAGTCCGCAGGGCCTGCCGTGCCGCGGCGCTTCTTCCCGACTGCAGAGTGTGCGATGCGGCTCGCTCTCTTTCCCAGCTGCGCAGCCCTCCATCTCTCTGATGGGCCCCACTCAGAGGACAACCGCCGGGAATTTGGTGGCTTTCAACTGCACCGCTGGCCCCTTCGGCTCCTCCGATTTCTATGTCACCTGGCTGAAGGACAGAGACGAGCATCCAGCCTCAGCTCAGCGCCTGGTGACTGAGGACAAAGCCAAGTACACAGTCACCAGTAAGGTGTGGGTGACCCTGGACCGTCAAGATGTCTGGTCGGAGATGACCTGCGAAGTCACCCACAGGCACCTGGCGGAGCCCCTGCGGAAGAGCATGAACCTCTCCCAAGTGCTCCGAGGTGCGTGAGCAGGGCAGGGTGGGGGCAGCGTTTTCTGACAGCATTGGCTTTCGGAGAATTTAGGGCTTTTGCGAAGCGCCATTTCACGGTTGGGAAATTGGAATCCCTCATGGCCGAGACCATCCTGGTAGCGGTGTTAAAGGCAGGGGCTCCTGAGGCCAACCACCTAGGCTTAGTCCCGGCTGTGCCGCTTCACAAGCTGTGTGATCTTGGGTAAGTTACTTAACCTCTTTGTGCCTCCTTTTCCTCTGAGAATGAGAATAAAATTAAGACCTGCCCTGTAGGTTTCATGTGAGGATTAACGGAGCTATTTCTTACAAAGCACCTGGCACGGTGCTGGCCACACCATATTTAAGCTGTTTATGCAGGTTTCATTTTATCATTATGTAGATTTTATTTTATCATTATCTGACGAAGCTTCCATTCCAAACATCTTTGTTCTATTAACTTCATTATTATTTTTAATTTTAGATATTTAATATTTATTCAGCATAAATGAATTCATTCATCAATGACTATCTACTGTGTGGCAGGCACTGTTCTAGGTGCTAGGGTTACAGAGATGAATAAAATTTTGTCCCTGTTCTCATGAGAATCATATTTGATAATTCTTAAAATAATATTTCATGATATGAAACATTTCAAACAGGAACTAATACAGCAGACACCCTTGTACCCCTACCCACATTTAATGAATATTACTGCTTAGCTCTGTTTGCCTTACATTGAGCATACAAGAAAAATTCATTTCTGTTTTTTGTTTGTTTGGTGTTTTGGGAGGAGGTAATTAGCTTTATTTACTTGCGATTTTTTTTAATTTAACGGAGGTACTGGGGATTGAACCCAGGACCCTATGCATACTAAGCATGCTCTCTACCACTAAGCTATACCCTCCCCCGCGATTTCTTTCTTTTTCATACAGGTAACTAATTTAAGAGTGAGAGATCTAGAGCTGGCTCCTGAGAGAGGAAGACATAGAACAGGCAGGGGTAATTTCAACAGACATTCTTTTGTTTCTGTGCTTAGTTGTCCCCACCCTGAAGATCACCACCAAGCCCTCTGGGATGCAAATCCATGTGCATCAGAGAGTGAATCTCACGTGCCATGTGAGCCACTTCTATCCCTCCCACCTGCACCTCACCTGGATGGAGAACAGGCACAAGGTACAGACCGTGGAGTCCCCGCCAGTCACCAGAAACCCAGATGGGACCTACTCTCTGGAGCACACCTGGCAGGCAGAGGCCACGCTGAACGGGAGTGAGTTTGCCTGCTGGGTGGTCCAGGATGAGCAGCCCCCAGTCCAGGCCAACATCACCCTGCAGGCTCAGGCACCCAGCCTGGGGAAAGGTGGGTGCAGCCTCTCACCAGCCTCTCTGGGCAGCATAGCTGAGAAGGTCAGAGGTGAAAACACCTGCCCTCTGCCTGGAGTGCGAACAGCAGTAGGTCAGGGACTCAGGGCAGCAAGGGATGAAGGTGAAGGAAGAGGGGATGCTGGGGGCTGATGGTAATACTCTCAGGCACTCACCCCTAGATTCTATTCCTCCCTCTCCTACGCCTTCCTCAAGAAGATGGAGTGGGACTTCCTTCCCCAATTCCATGTACTCGTTGAAAGTTCTCTGCGGGAAGATCACGGGCAGCTGGACACCAAAGTCCCTTCTAGGAAGACTTTAACTGTTTCAGCTGACAGTTTCTGGAAGAAAATTTAAACTTGTTTATTTTTTTTTTATTCTTGAGTTATATTTGTGGGGGAGGAGGTAATATTTATTTAATCAATTTATTTCTTTCTTTGAGGGAGGTACTGGAGACCAAGCCCAAGACCTCATGCATGCTACACATGCGCTCTACCACTGACCTTATCCCCTGTCCCTCTGGAAGTCAATTTAAAGAGAGGCCAGAATTCTTGACTGTCTGAGCCAGGAAACAGGGAAGGTGCAGGTGCAAGATTCTCATTCTCTCTACTACTGGGTTTGCTCTCTCCCACTCCTTCCTCCTCCTCTTCTTTGTCTTTTCTTCCCTCTCAGGCCCCTCATTTTCCTTCTTTTTCTCCTCTTTCCCCTACCCTGATCAAATCTCTCTCCTATCTGCCTTTTGTGTCCTAGATGATGTTCTCCACTAGGGGGAGCTGCCCACCAGCAGTTCAGCCCCTGGAAACCGAGCTGCTTTCCTTGGTCCAACTGGAATCAGCTTTAGAGAATGAATGATTGGGCCAGAGGGGATGAAAGGTGGAGAGAAGGGAGGATTAGAAGTGGCCGGGTCTAGCCCAGCCAAGGATGAGCCAGAGCGTGGACAGACAGCTCTCCAGAACCACAGGAAGCTGGTTAGGACAGCTCCCTATAGGCAGTGTGAGCGGCTGCGCTGGCAGCCGGTATCATAGCCCAAGCCACCACCAGCGAAAGGGAAGACAGGATGCTGGGCTGCAGAACCACACGTCTTCACAGCAGGGGCACTGACCCTGCATTTCATCTCTCCCTGAAAGAACTGGCTTTTTCTGCCTGCTCTAAGAATTCTCGGGGGGAATGACCCCACTACCTTTTTTTTTTTTTTAAGCTGAAGTATAGTCAGTTTACAATGTGTCAGTTTCTAGTGTAGTAGCTTGTCCAGCAGAAATAAGAAAAACATCCACCCAGTGGGATATACAGATCTGAGCGAAAAACTCCAAACTAGTTTTTTTCTGATCAGAAGCAGGTAACAGTATTTCTTTTTTGACTCACGCTGAGTTTTTTCTGCTCGAATTTTTCTCCTTCACCTGCATAAATGTTTCTGGCCCACAGCTGCAAGGTTAACCCCCGGGGAACATCACTTTGATTCTCCCACTTCCCTGTGCAGCTGTTTGGCGTGCCCTGTGGTCTTCAGCAGGGAAGGGCAACTTCCTTTTTTCACATCAGGTCCCCTTCTATTTGGTGTTAAAGTGCCTTTGCAGCTACATCTCCCCTCTGGCCCCTAAAACCCTTCTTCAGCTCCCTGCCCCTTGCACACTCCCACCTCCGGGCCTCTGATCACGTTGGCTGCCCCCTGTACAGCATTTACTGTGTACCAGGCATTCTCATATGTTATCTGACATAGGACAGCTGGGACAGGCAGCAGAGGGACCAGGTCTCAGGGATCTCAAATAGCAGAGCTGGGGTTAGGAGGCAGGGCTGCCTGTTCACAGATTCAATGTGTTTTCTGTATTTTTTCCTTCCATCCTGCCTAAAAACAAAATCTTAGTGTTATCTTAATTCTTTCTCACGTCTCCCTCTTAATACTCTAATCTGAAATTTATTTCTTCCTGAATGATCACATTTGCCCACATCTTTCAGTTCCCACAATTGACACTGAAAATACGGGGCCTCCTGCCAGTCCTGACCAGCGGCTTGACTGTTTATACCTCTGTCCTGAGACCTTCACAGCCTTGGAGCTGACACTGGCTCTTATGTTTGGAGGTGGCCACACTTTGGATTCAAATGGATCAGTGTCACCTCTTAGGGCTGCCACAGGCCATCTGTGACCTTAGCAAAGCACTGCCCTCTCTGAGCTCAGTTTTCTCCTCTGTGCAATGAGAACTGTTACTGCCAACCAGGTGCGGACGAAATGGGGACTCCTTTCCTTGACCCCCAGCTTGGCATCCAGGCAATGGGGCACACAGTGGTGCTCCCTGATGACTGTTGGCAGGCTCCATGGTGCCCAGCCCAGAGCTGGGTTGAAAGTAGGAAAATGTTGAAGTTCATGGATTATTATGGGGACGACTCTGGAGAAGTAGAGGCAGCTGTGATGTAACAGAAAGAGCCCCTGACTTGGAGTCTGAATCCTGGGATTGGAATGTGAGTTCTGTGTGCTGTGTGGCCCTTGGGCGAGTCACTAATCCTCTCTGAGCCTTTTCATTCCCTAACATTAAGAAATACAATTAGTAACAGTTCTTTAGATGGTTGTTGTGAGTATGTGATGATGATAGTTACCATTTATAGAGAGATTACTACGTGCCTCATAGTATTCTACACTAGTTGCTTTACTGGATTTATTAACTGAGAATTAAGAATCACCCCCGTTTTACAGATGAGGAAACTGAGGCTTAGAGCATTGAGTAGCACATGCTCCCCCAGCAGAGGGGCTGGGAATGCAAATTTGGCCTGAGTGTGACCCCAAAGCCTATGCTCCTACCTCTTCTCTGTGTCACCTGCCTTCATATGACCTGTCCTGGGAGCAGTGAGACACCCTTTCCTGCGCAGGGACTGAGGACAGAGCTGAGCCTGGTCACTAGGCGCTGACCCTGGGCCCTGACTGCCTGGCTAACAGCCTGGGCTCTACTGACTAGCTGAGGAGCTTGGACAAGTTACCTAGGCTCTGGGCTTGGAGCTGACACTGGCTCCCACCTCCCAGGGTTCCAGCAAGAACTCAGTGGGTCAGTAAGCAGGGTCGTGAGATGCGGTATTGGCCGTGAGGTGTGGGTGGGAGTCTGGCCTCCTTATAAACCGCTGTGGTCCCTGTAGTTTCATTGTCTGGTCTCTGATACCAGCTTCAAAATCGAACTCCTATAAAATGTAACCTTCATACCCTATGGAAGAGGGGGCAATGGGGCTTCCAGATGGAGACACGGAGGATTTGCTCGCACTGGGCTTGGCTCCTCTGCGTCCTCTCACAGGCGGGGTCTCTCTTACAGGCAGGAGCGGCCACTCTTATGCTTTAAAAGGCCCCCTTCAGCGATCTGAGCCGGGCTCGAGCATCCAGCTGACGTTCACGTCCCCCGGATTCCCCACAGGTCAGGTTACTGTGACCTGGCTTAAAAACAACCACAGACTGTTAAAGTCCCAGACCAGCGTCCATTCGCTGGGGGACAGCTACAATGTGACCAGCAGTGTGCTCGTCCCGCTGCAAGCTGACGACGTGCCCTCCCTCGTCCTCTGCCACGTCAAGCACAGGTCTACACTGGTTTTCCAGAAAACCATCAGCCTGGACCAGTACCTCCGTGGTAAGGACTATCTCTTTGTTCAGACTGGTTAGTGCAGAATTGGGCTGTGATGTCTCTGGGCCTCAGTTTCCTCGACTGATAAATGGGACATCCCTTTTTTTGGTTGTGGCAGGGACCCAGTGAAATGATACTGGGAAAGTAAGCAACACATCTCTTACTCATGTTAACACGGAGAAGTGGCATTTGTTATTCTTATTCATTTTTATTACTATTCACATCACCTCTCAGAACTCAGTCTTTTCATTTGTAAATTGAGACAAAACATCTCCTGGGAATTTAATTTATTACTATAATTATTTTTATATAAAGAGGATTTAAGGGCCTTTGTGAACCCTTAAATTTTAAATGCAATGATGCCTTTAGATCATTACTCATATCTGGGTCAGGACCTAATTTTCCATCTGTTTTTTGGTGGTTTTGCTTTTCCTCGCCTGGATCAATGCTTGACAGGTCTATAAATCACATGGTAAAAATAATTCCTTCAGATCACGCCTAGACGGAATCTGTGCGGCCATCTCATTGCCTACGACAACCCTAACACCCAGAGGAGGGAAGTGAGTTGTCCCAGATTGCACAGCAGTAAAATTAATTCCTGAAATATTTCTAGGACTTTTAAAGTTTATAGTATATTTCCCTCATTTGTTTTTTTGCTATTATTGTGGGAGGAAGCACATCATTTTGCATGAATAAAATATTGATATTAATGACTGCAATGAGGACAGCACAGTCAGTATACACAATCATGTTCACTGGCTTATTTCTTGTGTACAACTGCCCTGTACTGTTTGTTCCATTAGTGGTTTATAGAAGGAAACTGAGGTCTTAAGAAGGGAAGGTTGCCCAAGGGTGTGAAGCTGGGGAGGGATAGCCTTTGACGTGAATTCAGGATCTGGCTCTGCTGTTCACCAGCTGTGGGACCACCTGCTGATTACGCCAGGTCTCTCAGACTTGGCATCTTTGACTGTAAAATAGGAAAATGATAACGCAGGGAGTCCTCCTTATCTGAGTATTTTTATATAATCCCCTGGAGTTTGGACAATTGTGTAGAGATGCAAAAAATCATAGATAATAAAAATACTCACAAATGAATTATTTACTAATTAGCCCCTACTCTAAACCCTCCCTGCTCAACACTGCCTGCATCTTAGGTTGGGTTTCCTATCATGGAAATATCTTTGTGGGGGTCTTTATTTGGGTTCCCCTGAAGGCAGAGCCTGAAACTAGGTCCTGGGCGCAGGTGGTTGGGAGATGATCGAGAGAGGCTGGGGTAAGAGACGGGGAAAGTGAGACAGGGAATGGGGTGAATTATTGAACTGGGTGCCCCTGTGGACGACTGATGCTCAGCGTCCCTGGGGACCCTCAGAGGAACTGTGTAGACTCTGCCTCAGGACTGTCCCACAGAGGAGGTGTCTGCACCAGTTGGGTGCTGTTTCATGGTTATGGAGAAATCAAGGCAGAACATCGGGGAAGTGTTTCAGGAATCCCAGGTGAGATGTGGCATTGCCCCACATCACTGCCCTGAGATCAGGTGGCTGAGGAAGGAGCTGTGGAGCCTAGAATCTCTCTGCTCTAGCAGGTGGGTCTTGCCTTGATTGAAGTGTGGCAACATCAGACCGCACTGAGCAAACAGAATCCACATCCACTGCCAAGTGAAACCAGAGGTCTGGCAAAATGTACTTCAAGTAATTGATGTAAATGGTGCTGGGGAATTACTGGGATCCCAGGTGAATCTTCCAACTTTTAAAGATGAAAGAAAAAAAAATCTATGATCCTAATGGCTCTGTGGGCACTTCAGAAGAGGACACTTTAATTAAAAGAGGCCCCTTAAAATTCACAGAACAGTCAAATAATTTCACATCACTTTTCAAAATTTACCTTTTAATGATTGTGAAGTTTGAAATGAAGGATTTGATGGTATTTGGTATCAGTGTTTAGGAAAAAAATATGCCAGCTTCCTTACACTCCCAACACTTGTTCCTTCTAAGAGTTAGTGCATAGTTGTCATTATATTCTATACTTAATTAAAATGTAAATTAAGTAAAATTATTTTTATAATCGAAATAATTTTTCAGATGCAGTTTCAACCAATTCCTCTGACAATTTCATTGAACCGAGGCCTGCTTTTGTGTAGCGTCCTTCTCAGTGGCTTTTTGTTGCTGTTCTTTTCTGGTATCAAGTAGCTGTTTGCGTTTCCATCGTTTGGTTTTGTGAGGATGAAATGATGCACACGCAGTAACTCAAACACAGCCAAGTGCACAGGAACGGCTATTATCAGTGGTGCCCAGGTCTCTGTTCTCCCGGCACTGCCCTGGACACCTTCCAGCCCAGATAACTCACTGGTGGCTGGAATGGTCTATCTGAGACCCTCCATCCTTTCACTCATCCTTGTCACCCTCTGGAGCCCATGACACTTGCTTGGTGGTGCTTTGCCCTGGCCTGTTCTCCCCGTCACCACCTCATTTACCAGGACTTCACCAACACTTTCTCAGGGTCCTGCTCTTTGCTTGGTAAGGATCCCTGGGAAAGACCAAACAGAGAGTGACCCCTGGGGATGGTGTCTTGCCTTGGCTGTCCCACCCATTACAGCATCATTGACAGAACTATATAGGTTGAGGTGGGCTGAATATAAAGAAACAACATTTAGGGGAACAAACATACCCTTAGTTCTTTCAAATTGTACTGCATGAGGAGTTACTCTCTCTACGAGACCAGGAGCTGAAGCCTTTCTTAACCAGGACCATGAGAGATGATCTCATCTTGGACAATTTTATAATAAGGGTCTTGGAAACTGAGGGAAGGTGACTTGCAAAAGGCCTCACATGTGGCTGTGGTGTCAGCGCAGGACCAGAACCCGGCTCTCCCATCCCTTGGTTTAGTGTGAGAACTACACCATGCTGTGTGTTCATTTGAATCCTACTGAACCACTGAATGTTTTTTAGTATTTTAAATCCCCTCAATTTTCTTCAGTACGCATACGTTCTACGTCACAGCTGAAAATCTGGGTGAAAAAATTTTAGAATTGTTCAGATCGTAATTCCAGAAGCCAGCAATCATGAATGCTTATAGCCTTATAATTTGAGTGTCAGAATAGCAAACGGGAAAACATACTGTCTCTGGTGTAACCCCAGCTTTGCTCCTTGTGACCTTGGGCAAAAACTTAACTTCTCCAAACCTAAGTTCCTTCCTATGTTAAATATTAGTATCTTGGAGTCATGAAGATTAGAGTCTGTGAATTTTCCTCAGTCATGGAGTCATGGAGTCAATGGGTTCATAGGTTCTCAAATAGAATTCAGGGTCACCTTCTCGTCTTTTATGACCATAATGGAAAAAGAAAGTGAAGATAGGGTGGTTTCATGATTCCACGCTTCCATTCGGGCACGCATTCACTCATGCATTCCCACACTCATACAATCATGTGATTACTTATTCACACACCTGTTAACCAATACCTAACTCCTCCTCTGGGCAGATGACCCATCCTCAAGGAGCCCCCCAGTGCCCAACATGAACTTCCTACAGTCATTGTCTGATTTCTCTGGGCTGTGCCAGTTCCCCCTGCAGTAACAGTGTCCCAGGCTTCACCCTCCTTGGACTTGGTGGCCGTTACCTGCCACGTGCAGAGATTCTACCCCCAGAGCGTGCGTCTCACCTGGATGGAGAACTGCCGTGCGTTCCAGGGAGAGAAGCAGCCCACGCCGAAGCAGAACAGTGATGGGACCTACACCCTGGAAAGCTTGCAGCTGGTGAACGCCTCGGTGCAGGGGTCCGAGCGTGTGCTCACCTGTAAGGTGCAGCACGAGGCACAGCCTCCCACCCGGGCCAGCCTCATACTGTCCGCAGCAGCCCACAGCACAGACAACCCCCTTGGGAGCCCAGGTAAGCTCACATCTAATCCTGTGAGCAACTGGGTCACTTCTGTCTCCAGGTGGAGTGACGTATTAAATCCCAGAGCTCCATTTGATGTCACCTCTGCCTGTTGTCCCTTAGGTCCAGCGACGCCTGCCCTTATCTTTGTGGCTTTCCTCCTGGGATTCAAAGTGCTGCTGGTGATCGGTTTTGTGGTCACTTACATCTGCAGGTGGCAGAACCTGTAACAGGTGAGTTGATGGCAGCCTTAGTCCTTAGGGAGGGAGATCAGGGCCCCTTTCCTGGGCTGGCAAGAGGAGTCCAGAGTGAGCGCATAAAGTCACATCGATGATCCAGCCTCAAGGGAAGGTTGTGAACAATCTTATTTTCTCCAAATGTGTCTTGGAATTCTCAGAGAGTTTCAACTCTCATGCATTATTTAGAGCCCTGAAATTTGAAGTTTTCCAATTAAGTTTTCTGGGACCCTGGAGGTTGGGTCCAAGGTGTGAAGGTGGGATAAAAATCAAAGTTTTGAGACCCAAACTCCAAAAACCCTCTCCCTCATAAACTGTTGTATATTCAGTTATATCTTTGGAATGATTAAAGTCTTCCAAAAATCAACACATGGAGCCTCTCTGGGGGACTTGGATGGAGTGACTCGTAACACAGATGAATGTGGGTAT